AGTAAACGAATTTTAAATAAAATTAAAATCAGCTAAAATATATAAACAAGTGGCCGACAATGCCTAATAATAAAAGAAATAATTTAAAGATAATATGACCCACAAAGCCTTTAATTAATACAACACAAAAATAAAAATAGCACGCTAGTCTATGCTGATAAAAACGAATCTTATATTCAAAAAAACAATTTAATTTTATTTCCTAATAGGTTTTAAAAAAAAAATCTTATTTTCAAACATAAGTCTTATTCTTTTACGTCTATAACTCTATAAGAATTATCTTCATTGTCATTCAAGTAATCAAATACGATGGAAACACTATTATTTTCTTACAAAACAAAAAAAAAATATGTATATATATATATATATATATATATATATATATATATATATATATATATATATATATATATATATATATATATATATATATATATATATATATATATATATATATATATATATATATATATATATATATATATATATATATATATAATTGATTATTCTACATGTATCTGTATCTGTACGCAATTGAATTAAAATGGCAATTTGATTTGGTTCATTCATCAACTTTTATTTGAATTTATTTTAATTTTTCTCTCTCTACGAAACGCGTTCATAAACTATAGAATAGACTCTGAATTGGCAAATTGGCCAACAATAACACGCTTCATTCACGTGTTGAGTCAGTGCACAAATTAATAAAAAAAAAAATACAAACTACTTGCAATATAAAATATTATTTTATCATTACTTTTATATTCTAACCATCAAGATGTTCATTGTTCATACGAACCTTCAGTCAAAAAATGTTTATACGAAACTGTACGTAGTATTGACCCGACAAATATTAGGCATGCATGCCACGCCAGACATATCTTATAGTTTTCTTACTTTTTTATATATATATAATACTAATGTTTTCATTAACTTTAATTTGAAAAATGAAGAGTATATAGTTTTTCAAATATTGTGTTTATACCACCAAACTCTTATTTAGAGACAACTAAATACAACTTTATGTAAACATCAATCGTCAAGTGTATCACATTCTTTAATTTTTCTTTTAACGTCACTACTATTTTGGTCCAAATATCTTTTGAATAAAGACAACGTAACATAAAATAAATATTAGCCAGTTGGTAAGGTTGGTGAAATCTCATGTATGATTTTCAGAGTTATTTAATGTTTAAAAATGGTTCAAAAATTGAACAACCCCCCTTTTCCGATTTAAAGCTGTTACTTGATATATATTAGAAATTTAAATATTTTAAAATTAATTTTACAAGTCCATAGTGGAGGAGTTGAAGGAATTTCACAAGATTATTGATGATATTGAAAATATTGAGGTGAAGATTCATAATGAAGACAAAATTTTACTCTTGTTGTGTTCATTACCAAGATCTTTTGAACACTTTAAGGATGTCCTTTCTTTGTGGTAAGGAATGTACTATTACTTTGAATTAAGTCCAGACAAGTTTGAGATCTAAAGAATTTTTAAAGGTGAATGATTTGAAGATTCACCATAATGGTGAAGGCTTGAGTATCTCAATAGGAGAAAGTGAGTGTAGAGGGATGTCTAAATCAAAGAGGTTTGATAAGTAAAGGTTAAAATGTTTTATTTGTCAGATACTCAGTCACTTAAGAAGGGTTTGTCCTGAGAGGGGACACAATGATTATTCTGTTCAGATTGTAGTTGTCTTTGTTGATGATAGTTATGAGAGTGTTGATGTATTAATGGTATCAAGTTTTGAGACTGAAGACGGGTGGTCATGAACTCAGGTTGCTCTTATCACATATATGCAATAAAAGAATACTCTGAGACTTTGAAGTTTGAGCAATGTGGAGTTGTTCTCTTTAGTGATAATAAGGCTTACAAGGTTCATGGTATTGGTAGAATGAGACTTAAAATGTTAGATGATTGTAAATTTCTTCTTCACGACGTGTTTGTTATCCATAAGCATGTTTGGTGATTTAAACTATTGTATTAGAGTTTAACATGAGGTGTTAAAAATTTCCCAAGCTCAAGTGATCATAGCTAAAGGGTCTCAAGTATATGGTTTATATATTTTATAAGGTTTAAATGTTATTGTTTATTCATGATTAACTAGTGATGACTTTCATGACATCAAACTGTGAGTTTTGAGATAAAGGCATGAAAAAGGCATATAGGTTATTTCAGAGCACTTTAATGAGTTTTGTAAAAGACAAAAAAGAAAAAATAGATGTCATCGCAAAGTTGCCATTAAGTTTTTGGAGTAAGGTTTGTGGCTAAACAACTTACCTCATTGACTGACTTTAAACTACTCTATTTTGAAAGTCATCAAAATATTGCTTATTAATCAAATCGATTTGATTTGATACTAGTAAAATTATGAATTGTGTTTAGGGTTAGAAATGAGTCGAGTCGAGTCGAACTCACCTCAACTCGGTTCAACTGTTAAGAATTGGTTCATCTCAAATCTCGATTCGAGTTCGACACAAACTTTTTTTAAACTCAAAATCGACTCGTTATAAGTTCATGTATAGTTCAGTTCAACTCGTTAGGTTCAACTCATTTGTTTAATATTTCTTAAAAAAGAAAATTTTAAAATAAAATAAAAGTTATCATATTGAAATTTAATTGTTTCATAAATCTATTAATTCAAAAACTACATAACTTTCAAGAGATACATTCAAAAGTCTAATTAAAAAACTACTCAATTGGAGTTTAAATTGAAGGTGGTAAGAAACACAAGAAAATGGGGGGGGGGGGGGGGGTTGTGAATTGGGTTTCTTAAAACAAAAGTCTTTTCAAAACCAACTTTATTAAGCAAAGACACAAACAAAAAATATGACAAAGTTATTTTTATATTGGTTCGCTGTTAACGAAGTTACCTCCAGTCCACACCCTACCAAGGTGATTTTGCCTTCATAACAAGGACTTAATCCATTATAACCGAAACTAATTACAAACACCACAAAGACAAACAGTCTTTGTCTTCTTGAGTTTATCTGACTAAAACCTAGTCACTCTAACAAACCACTCAAACAATATTGAGATTTATAAATTGTGTTTACAAATAATGCTTCTAAGAAAGCAGATTAACACAAGATTAAAACAAAGAATATCTCACACAATAACAAGCAAAAACTCTATGTGTGTTTACAAAGAATATACACATAAAATATTTACTTCAGCAAAAACGTGTGTATGTTCAATAGCGTGAGCGTAAGTATTAACAACTTCTTCCAATCTTCCAAGTCTCCTTTACATAGGCAGTTAAAAAGGTCTGTTGGAGGGTAGAATTGGAATAACAAATAGCAGTTGTCTCCTTTCATAACAGTTTACATATAGAGGCAAAATGGTACAATGATACTGTCTTTAGCCCACAAAATCAGGGTAGTGGAGGAGGGGGTGAACTTGTACTGTGTACTATTTTTCTGACACAAAACCTTTTGATTTCATCTTCTAATCTTCAAATACTTTTGATGAAATGATGTTAAATCATACTTAGAACGATCAAGAGACTAGTTGAGAGAATGTTCATAACCTTGGCCTCCAGAGTCTTGACACATTTCCTCAGAACTTGGTTTTCAAAGCTTGAGTGCAAAATCTTGAAGGCAGACAATCCTTCAGAGGCTCTTCAATTAGAGTCACTGTCCAAAGCTTTAGCACAAACATTCTTCAGAACCGTTGTCTAAGAGCTTTCTAGAACTTGATAGCATCTTGTAAAGCACTTGTATTTTTTCAGAGTCAGAGTATGTTGATTCCAGAGTCTGATAACGTCACACGTCAAAGTTTCAGAGTCAGAACTTGTTTAGTAAAAGTTATACGCTAGACAAAAATCGTTAGTGTACAAAATAGTTCTTTAAAAAACAATGCATTGTTATCATCAAAACTAAAGGCTAGATGCAAAATTAAATCTTATTCTAACATAAATTTGTTTAAAAAATTCACAACTTCATCTAAATATTTAGAAACCTTACAAATTTAATGAAATAATACACTAAAAATTACTAGAAATTGATACATTTCCATCACAAAATGATTACAACACTTGCAACATAATATAATGTCTCCACAAAGACGACCCTAAATGCAATTGTCGACTTTACTACTATAACTAATACGGAAGAGACAATATAGGTTTAAGAGGAGTAAATATTAAAACCTACTTTTAAAGACAATAAAATTCTTCTTAAATCGAGTTGACTTATGAACATAACGAGTCAAACTATGTATAGTTTAAATTTAACTCATTTATTCAACGAATTTAGTTTTTCACTCATATTCAACTAATTTAATTTATAAATCTAATTTAACGATTTAATTATCAAATTAAATTTTAAATTATTTTTGAGTTGGTTCGGTTCATTGTCAGCTCTAATTATTTTAAAAATATTATTTTTTAAATTTATTGAATAAATTTGTAAACATATTAGACGGGTTGAAAATTGAATTCAAACTTTCAATTTATTTTTTTAAGCAAAACAACATCTATGGTCATTCAACTAAATATACTAGATTTGAAATGGTAAAATATAAACATTTAACATGTTGAAAAGTAAATTCAAACTTCCAATATCCATCTCATCAAGTGGAGACCATGAAGCGACATTTCTGGCACCATGCTTAAATCTCACTTTTTCCCTACAATTTCATTATTTATTTAATTAAATAATTTTATAAAATCAAGATATTTTCAAAAGTTAAGACACCAAAAATCATAATCAGTGTGAACAAGCAGACGTTTAAGTGTTTCTTTTCCAGTCAGTTTCGGTCAGCCTGCCCGATTTCGCGGTGGGCAGGTTCAAACTCCAAGGCAGCCATCTCTAATCCATCCAATACATAACTGCTTCTCTCTACTTCATCAACCCAACCAACTAACAAACTCACCATAACACCGTGGCTACCACCGCCGTGCAAGGCGGCGCGTGAGAAAGCTTTCGCGCGTGAGGAAGTTACCGGCCGTATTTTTCTTACTTGCTGCTGATTGATCCACGCGGGAGAAGAAATGGGACAGAATCAATCAGGATGTGGGATGCAGAAGAGAGAAAATGATGTGTTTGCTTCTGCTGTTGCCAATGGTGAGATGGAGGTTGTTGAAGCTATGGTTGATGATGATGTGAGTGTTTTGGATAGAACTATTGGTCGTGCGAGGTTGTCTCCTCTTCATTTAGCAGCTGCCAATGGTCGGATCGAGGTAGTTCTTGTTCATTGTTGCTCGTTCCTCTCAACTTTCGATTTCTTACATGTTAGTGTTAGTGATTTTCTGGTGATTGGTTTGTTAATTGAGATTTTTATGATTAAATTTGGATTTGTGTTGATTTTTTTTAGTTGAAATAAGTGTTTTTTTTTTTTCAATATTAATTGGAAAAATGAGTTGATAGAATTTTGAAGAGTTTAGGAAGAAGTTAAAGGAGATGGTTTGTGAAGAAATTGAGTTGACTAAAGGTGATTTTAGTCCTCGTTGATTGATTTCAACGTTTGTTTTTAAGTGTTGGTTGAATTTTTTTGTCTAAGTGGTTGTAGGTGGTTTACAGCTGGATATTTTTTTGATAATTGATTCATGAGTTAATTCAAAGTGGCTATAACCTCTAACGCCGACATCTCTGAAAAAAAGTGTGTTGTGTCGGTCAGTTGGTGTCTAAAACCGGCACAAGTGTCGGTCAGTCGGTGTCTAAAACTGGCACAGACACTTGTGATTATGTTTAATTTATTTATTTTATCAAATTATTATCGGTGTTGATGCGTCAATGTGGTGCTGTGTTTCTAGTGTCTGCTTCATTGACTATAAGTTACGTTTGTATTGGCGGTGGTATGACACTTTGATTTTGACAAAAACTACACTTTAGAACTTCAACAAAATTATGGGGCCACCATGATTTCACCTCTCATTGTCAATCCAAGTGTGTGTCTTGTTTCCCGTTGGAAACTATTAGAATTTTTTCGTGTCTTCCTGATTAGATTTTAGTAAAAACCCATATGTTTAGTAAGAATAGATTTTTCATGAAAATGCGTAGTTTCTTTGTTTTGGGATCTTTGTAATGGAAGAGTCTGAAAAAATTGAGTTGAGGTGTGTAAGCTAATTCCAATTTATTCATAAAATTTATTATTCTGAGGATTCCTAGTCATTGTTTGATATTTCAATTCAACTTTTCTTTTGTTTGTTCAGATGTTAACTCAATGTAGCTCTAAGTGAGTTGAAGTTAGAGCTTTTTGTAATAATTGATTAAAATGAAACATCATTTGTCCCCTCTTGCATCTCTCATGCTGTTTTTCTTTGTCTTGAACTCTTGGTTAGGTGCTTTCCATGTTGTTGGAGCAGAATGTTAAAGTTGATGTCTTGAATCGCCATAAACAGGTGCGTGTCTCTGTCAAACACCTTTGTAATTGCCATAAACTTGGTTGTACTACCCATTCTGATTTTTATTGCATTTATTTCTTTTTGGGTCTCTAGACGCCGTTAATGTTGGCTGTGATGCATGGAAAGACTGGTTGCATGGAAAAACTTATTCAAGCTGGAGCTAATGTATGTTATGCTTTCTTCTTTTTCTATTTTTTCTCAAGTTCGTTGAGTTTTAAGGGGAAAAACCAATGACCTGTTTGGACTGACTTATTTGAGTTTATCTATCAGCATAAACATTTTTAAGCTTATAGCTTGTACAAAACAAATTGGCTTCACTTTATATTTTGTTATAGAAATAGTTTATAGTTTATACATAAACACTTATATGATAAGTGCGTATGCCTGTATAAACGTTTAATCCAACTGTTTATCCAAACATGATCTTAGTTTGAGAAGAAATTAAAATGAAACTCAGAAGTCTAAAAAATGTTGAGTTGGTGGTGAATGTGTTGATCATTGGTTACTCAATTAGGGGATTGATATGACACGTTCTTGTAATATTTCAGATATTGATGTTTGATTCTATTCGTCGAAGAACTTGTTTGCACTATGCTTCGTATTATGGCCACGTAGACTGCCTAAAGGCTATTCTTTCAGCTGCTCATTCCACGCCTGTTGCAGATTCTTGGTTAGACTCTCTTTCTTCTATGCACAAACAAATATGAAAGAAATTACACTAATAGCTATTCCATTAATTAGGACTCAATGACAGAATCAAATAAAAAATAAATAAAGAGAATCAAATAAAATCAGAGAGTTAAACCAAAATTTTCTTGATTCTCGTACAAATGGGACTAATTCCAAATCGTTCAATGGTATTGCCAGGGGATTTGCCAGATTTGTGAACATAAGAGATGGAAACGGTGCTACGCCACTGCACCTTGCTGCTCGTCATAGACGGCTTGAATGTCTTCATTCCCTTCTAGACAATGGGGCTCTTGTTTGTGCTTCAACCGGTGGATCTGGGTAATAATTGTGTTCTAAGTTTTGTTAGCCTTATTCGATGAAAATCGTTGGTTTTTTCTATTAGAACTGATCAAAGTACATTCTGCAGATTTCCTGGAAGAACGCCACTACATATGGCTGCTCGCGGTGGTTCTGTGGACTGTGTCCGGATGTTGCTTGCTTGGGGAGCAGATCGCCTTCAATTAGATTCCTCTGGGTAAGTAAATCTATGCTTATCACTTCAAGAAACTAATTAAAGTTGTAATTATAGTGTTTTTCTTCTCCATCCGTTTTTTTTTCCTTTTACAGAGTTTAACTTGTAAATGATTCTTTGCAGGAGAATACCATTCACGGTTGCTCTTAAGCACAGGCATAGGGCATGTGCGGCCCTACTCGATCCTTCATCAGCTGCACCGCTTGTTTGGCCGTCTCCGCTAAAGTTTATCAATGAGCTCAACCAGGAAGCCAAAGCCTTGTTAGAGAACGCCTTACTAGAAGCCAACAGGGAGAGAGAAAAAACCCTATTAAAGGAGAATGACATACCTTCATCTCCACTTCGTTCTGATAACAAAGACGATGACATTGTCTCAGACTCTGAGGTACAAAGTCTTTCTTTCTTGAAGATCTAGTGTTTTCTGCATAACTATGAGTTACTTATTTGCTCGTTATCTCTCCTCGTATAGGAAAGCAATATGGAGTTATGTTGCATATGCTTTGATCAAGTCTGCACAATTGAGGTCAAACCTTGTGGTCATCAAATGTGTGCTCATTGTACCCTAGCACTATGCTGTCTCAAGAAGCCCAATCCTCAAACTGGTTGCACCACCGGACCAGCATGTCCATTTTGCCGAGGTGCCATTCTTCAGTTAATCGTTGCCAAGATCAAGACTTGCAGTGATTCAGAAGTGGAATCAAATCCAACAAAGCCAAGGAGGTCAAGAAAATCAAATTTCAGCGAAGGGAGCAGCAGCTTCAAGAGTTTGTCAGCCATTAGCTCATTTGGAAGGATCACTGGTCACAATTCAGGAAAGATTGATACCGAAAAGCAATGAGGGATTTCTTAAGTCTTGATGATTGCCAGCGGATTCTTTGCTTCCATTGACACTTAAATGGTGATTTTACACTTGATGTGGAATAGCTACCTATAGTCGTAAGCATGTTATTTGAATTCAATTTTTTCATATTGTCCGAAGTTCACTAAGATAACGCAAGACAATAGATGAACTAGATTCTTATATGGTCTGTTTGAGTCATTGTAATACGATTATCAGTTGAACTTTTGACCGACGGTTGCATTTTTATTTTACCAATTATAAAATGTAAGTATGCATGAGTTGTTCAATTCTCTTGGGTGTAGTACTCATTTTTCGCCTTCATACATGAGACATTCAATTCTCTTGGGTGTAGTACTCGGTTTTCGCCTTCATCCAGGCTGTGTGGGCATCTGATGACACGCGGCTTTCGCATTTATTCAATTCAACGAATTTTGGGCCAGGATTCATTTGCAACACGGAACTTGTCCATTATTCAACTGAAGAATTGGTATTTTGAATTTAAGTGGTTAGTTTTCTCATTCTCTGTACTCTCAATCTTGTTGCTTAGTAATCTGCACAGGTCAATTATAACTGGCTGAGTAATGATAGGTAAATATTGTAAAGCTTCAAATGTATTATTTGGGGCATTCATTTATCCCTATAACTTGGGAAATATATTGTATTTCATTTTCATTTTCAATATTTTGAATTATAGGTTTGAATATATTTTTGGTTCCTGTAATATACCTACTTTTTGATTATACTATGATTTATGTTTTTGTTTTATCAATTGATTCATCAGTGGCAACTTGAAAAATAAAATTGGTATTGAATGTAGTGTAAAATAGAATATCCAAACTTAAAAATGAATAACCAATTATGAGAGAAAAAGTGAGATTATGAATGAGAAAAGTGTTTGTTTGTTCTCACAGTGGCACTGTGGTGAGACTGAAGCTTGAATTTCTAGCTTCGTAAAATCGCAGTGTAATCGACATTAGGACATGAGAATCGCAAGCTGAAAGCAGAGTCAAACAAGTGCTAAAATGAGTGACATAAGGTTGTCACTCTTCGACTCATCGACACAAAGAAGAGAATGGTATTGGTGTTCCATATCTATTGGTCTGCCGCAATGCTCTATTCGCCTCTCTTCCACTGTCTTCACTCGATGAACCTGGTGAACTAAGAGCAACTTGGCTACCAACAGATGGTGAGTTCGACTCTTGAACCGGAGAGAAAACATTATGTCTGTCAACGAAAGCACATTGATTCCTTCTGTAAGTACGTCTAGCTCTTCTCTCTGCTACAAGGTACTGACCAAGAGAAGGAACATCGTTCGGACTAACTGCATCGGTAGTTAGCTTTGTACAGAGTGAGAATAACCATGGTTTCAGCTTGTGATTATTTTTGTTTTCCTTTGAGGGTTTCATCTCGCTTCCCCTGGTTGATCTCCTTGACAATTCTAGGAAGGTAGAATCACCTAAGAGGCTTCCAAGTGTGATGCTCTTCCTGTCATGGAAAAGTGATCCTGTGGACTAAACCAAGGTATATAGAAGTTAGCTAGATGGCATTGGCACATAATATCTACTTTCAAAATTTATGATCTAATCTTATATAAATTTTTCAAGTAAAATAGCATTTTGCTAGAACTTTAAGAATATGATTGTCTTTCTCATATCTTTGGATGCATGTTCTCTACTCATATGGATCCTCTCCTACCTGACCGACCATTGAATTAATCCAATAGTTAACAATATATTTAACTGTTGAATTAATTTAACGGTTGACCCGTCTTTTGACGGGCTGCAGGGGAAGGAGATGATATGAGCTGTCAATGACAGACTAGAGTAAAATAAATGCCAAATTCTGTTAAAGCATGGTGTTCTAAGTCATGTTGTGGACCCATAAAGAGAGCAACATGAAGATAAAAAGCATGTTCATTTCATGAAGATTCCTTTTTTGAAAGATAAAAAGCTTCATCTTCATGAGACAAATGATCAAAAAGTAAGTAGTCAAAGGCCATGGCCGAAACAAAAAGGAAAGAGCAAATATCTTTATTATACTTAGATATGACTAATGTTTATTTTTATTCAAAAAAAAGGACTATTGTTGATTTGTTATTAGCATAACTTGTGCTGAGTATGAAGGAATATCTTTTTCTTATAAAAAAAAGTATTGACATACACAAAACGTATATTTGAGCACCAGCTATTTCTAACTATTCCTAACTACTCCAAACATGATACTGACACGGCAAGACCTAACAATTTGAAAAAAATGAGTAAATTTAACATAATCAGAAGTATCGGTATAAGCGTCCGATACTGATATAGATACATATTTTTTTAGAAGTGTTGATGCTAGATAGATTCCTAGGACCATAATTACTTCGATCAATGATAAAACACTGTCATGTAAGTTGTACCAAAAAATATACTGTTATGATAATTATTGTTGTAAGAATATAAAAAGAATAACCATCAAAGCATAAGGATTGATAATTTTTGATTCCGTACCCTTATGATACATGTCTTTTTGCAGTCTTTTTTTGTGCCTCTCTTCTTTTTATGTTGTCTCACAGGTCATGTTTTGTTGCCTTTTCTATGTTAATAATTCAGCTCATATTCTACTAAGACCGTAGTTCAATTCATATTAGATTCTTTGAGTCTTAGGACTTTTTATGACTCTTATGAGACTGAGATTCAATTCGCCTAAACTTTTGCGTCAAAACTACTAACCTCTGAATCAAGATATGAGGAAGAATCAGTCGATCGGATGGAAGAACTGGTGAACAAAGTGCTGAAGGAGATTGATCCAGAGAATTCACCGTTTCTTACCAGAACATTTCTCGGATTCAATAAATTCAGCCCGAAAGGCCACCCTTCTTCCTGCATCAACATTGCAGCCAAAATTGTTCATAAAACCTTAAATACACAGATATCAACACAACAATGCTAACACATTGTCACAGTTTTTGTTATCTTATCTTCGAACCTTACAATCGATCAGTTTGGACTTGGATTGACTTATTTAAACTTATTTACTATTCTGAGAGTTTGAAGAACTTATAAAAACAATTTATAAGTTGTTTTTAACTTATTTTCACAAGTTTTTCTGAAATGAAAAAGAAGTGTAGTTAAAGATGATACCTGTTGAGCCATGCTGGACTTGAGAGAATGATATGATTGGAGAGTAGAATGAAATGAATGATAAAGGAAATGAAGGACTAGGAAGAATCCAATCCTAAGATGTCACTTCATAGAAGAACAAACAAAAAAGAATAATGAATGTTATGGGTGGATAGCATTGTTTCCTCTGACCAAGGTAACAGTAAAATGAAGAAAGTAGAGAAAGGAACAAAACAAAGGAAGTTGTGGTGTACATAGGTGACAAAATAGTGGAATAGATATGGACATGAGAGATAAAGAGAGGGACAGAATGAGGAACAATCTGCCAAAGGCGTAATTTAACTGTATTGTACCTGAGAGTCAAAAATGATGTGTGTGTGTGAGAGAGAGAGAGAGTGAGAGAAAGAGAGAGACAAAGAAGGTGTGAAGTGAGAGTGAATTATTAGAAGCTTTTTATGTAATGTATGACCTATGGTTTGGGAAACATAACAGATGTTGCAGTAGCATCTCATTCAAGTGTAATCTAGTTAGTTTATTTTATAAGATTTCTAAATTTTCAATTACTCTTGCTTAAATTATTTTGTTGGGTAGATTTAAACTTCAGGGTATGTTTGTTTTAAGTTAAAAGAAAATAGAATTTTTCTTTATATATTTTTAAATGATTTTTATGAAATTTTTTTTTTAAATGTTATAAATTTTATCAAGTTCATTGTTTTTGGAATTGGATTACTAATTTTGACATCCTATAATATAAACATCCATTATTGAAGATGAAAATATAGTATAGATTGCAATTTTTTCAAAAAGGTGTATCTTAAAAATAAATTTTATGAAAAAGTATTTGAAATAGTTTCAAAATCAAATAACTTTTTTAAATTTTAATATCCAAAAATAATAAAATAATAAAATATTTAAAATAATATTTTAAAAGTAATTATTTAAATTAAATTTTCATTTGAAACTTAAATGGACACAACAACCACTTATGGGTCATAAATGAAAAATATAACTAAGTAATTAAAATAAAAATGGTGTAAATAAATTCACACATAAATACAACTTAATTAAAATAAAAATGGTGGTGAGAGTCAAATACAAAGTAAATAAATTCATATAAAAGTACAACTTAATGCGGAATTTAATTGTAACTTTGGTCACCCTATTTTTTTTTATTTTTTATTTATTTTAATCTCTCTATTTTAAAAACTATAATTTTGATTTTTTTTTTTAAAGTTTTGTGATCGATTTTAGTCCTCTTTCCAATATAAAACTTATTTTTAACGATGTAGCGCTCTTTTTGTTGATGTGGCACGGTTATTAATGACAAGTCATTTTCTTTTTACCCAAATATATTTTCATATCATATTTGTCCATTTAAAATTAAATTATTTCATTAAATTTAATTCCAATTCAATTATCTATTCTATAACAATAATTATTAATATTAATTCAATTGTCTATTTATATTTGTTCAATTTTGCATCATTATACGTTTGGTCAATTAAATTTTAAAACAAATCAGGTTAATGAAAATATTACTTCTCCTTCTACAAAATGTGAAAATATTACTTCTTTTGAAAATATTACTTCTCCTACTACAAGATATTCATTCAGTACAAGAAAATAAAACCATATTAATAAAAATAAAACATTACTTCTCATTACTTCTCACACCTATTTCCCTCATCTTCAAACCTTGTTTTTTACACCCAAATTCTTCACCTTCAAATCTAAAAAATCACATCTAATTCGATGTTTGCATCCAACAACAACAACAATTAATTAACACAAGAAACACATTTGATGTCACTAATTTAGAACATAATTGTCCTAACCACCATGTTTTCTTCTAGAGGCTGTAAAGAGGAATTTTCACATCGTCAAGCCCGTCACCTTACGTATTCTAATCGAATTGAATAGAAATAATCGAAAGAGATGAACACGAGTGAGATTTTGGAGCGAAAAGCGGAAACATATTAGTGTTCAGATCTATGAAGAAAGACATGATGTTCTCAAGATTTGGGGGTTAGGGTTAGCAGGACCGTCTTTTAGGGCGCGCAAGGTGAGCTACCGCATAGGGTCTCAAATTTGTTAAAGTTAACCTGTAGTTTAATAGGGCCTTAAAAATGTTTATAGTGGTTAAAATATGATTAGATAGGGCCTCAAGTTGTTTTACATGATTAAACTAGTATTAATCTACACAAGCTCTCCGAAAAAATTGAGACAACTGAGGGTTAGAATTTCATTTTGGTTTTTTTTGTTAGTCTTGATTGCTGATTTTTCTGAGATTAAATTGTTAATCATCTTCCTCTCCCAACCAAAACCGTCACTCTTAATCTTCATCTCCCTCAACAACAACCACTCGCAACACCGCCACACACAACACTCCCTTCTTTTCACGCGTTTTGGAAAATATAAAAGACAAAAAAAAAACTGAACTCATCTCTCTAAACTTTCAGCCGCCGCTCTCTTTCCATACCACTTTCCGACAAATCTCCGCTCCCTCCCGAACCGTGTGAACAAAAATAGCACTAACATATATATAATTCTATTTTTTATATAATGATATTAGATTAATATTTTTAAAAATTTATAAATTAACATATATATGAAATTTCAAAAAAAAGAATTGAATTAATATTAGATTTAATTAAATTATTTAATTTTAAATGGACAAATGTGACATGGAAATATATTTGGATAAAAAGAAAATGACTTGCCATCAATAACCGTGCCACATCAGCAAATAGAGTGCCACCTCATTAAAAATAAATTTCAAATTGGAGAAGGGACTAAAATCCATTGCAAAACATAAAAAAGAGACTAAAGTCGTGATTTTTAAAATGGAGGGATCAAAATTAAAAAAAAAAAACAAAATAGGAGAACCAAAGTTACAATTAAGTCTATATAAAAAGAAACCAAATTGTAAAAAGGCAGTGTAAAATGAAGTAAGCATTCAAAATAAAATAGAGATGAGTTTGGATAATCAAACTGATCTTTTAGATAATGATGAATGTATCAATCTCTAACACGGATAATACACATATCAATAGTCCTGTGAACTAAATACCCCAAAATTATAATAGGAAAATTTCATTTCATACCCTTACTGTTATACTAATACCTCTACATTTTTTTAAAAATGCTAATTTTATCTTTATTTATTTTTTTATTATTTTATTTTTTACTTTTTACTATTCATGTCAGACTTCCGGGAAATTGGACCAATCAAAATCGCATTGGAAGACTCCAATCAAGACTTCTGATATGTTATTTTTCTCTTCCGGAAGACTTGGAGTGAGAGTTCCGGTTTGTCACAAAACCTGTACTGGAAGTCTAACCAAAAGAGTTTCAGTTTGTCAAAAAACCTGTACCGGAACACTTTTTTGGAAGTTATCCGTTTTGTTGGTTTTGTGTACCGGAATACATTTAAGGAGAAGTCCGCTTTACTTGATTTTACACACCAGAGCTCTTTCATTAAGACTTTCATATTGCTTTTTTTAAATTTATTTTTTTAATAATTTTTTTATACTACAAGTATGGACATTCCTCCAAAAATATGTGTAGATACTTATGATGTTTTTTCAACTAATCAAAGATTTGATACACGAGAAGAGGTGATAAGGTGGATCAAAGAGGTTGAAATCCGAAATAAAGTAATTGTTATTATCACTCGTTCAAATACTGAAACAAGCAAGAGAGGAAGAAGTAAAAAATTAATAAAGGTGAGAAATACAAGGATGCTGATAGTGGAACCCAAAGTGCGATGAAAAAAAATGTGAATGTCCATTTAAAATCAGGTCAACTCCGACGAAAGATGGGTATGGATGGAATGTTGATGTAAAATATGGAACCTCTGTTTGAAATTGTTGGCATGACATCAACCGAGTTGACTTTTACTGTCGCATTTGCGTATATGGAGTCTGAGCAGACTGAGACTTTTTGTTGGGTGTTAGATAAGCTTAAACAATTGTTTGTGAAGAAAGATTTATGTCCAAAAGTTATTTTGACAAATAGAGATCTTGCTTTGGTGAAAGCAAACTGAAACTGTGTTTCAAAGGTCGATCAATTTGCTATGTCGATTTCACATTAACAAAAATGTTGGTGCAAAATGCAAGCAATATGCGGTTAGTGACATGCAAAAGACGATCGAGGACTTATGGATGGAAGTTGTATGGGATAGTGATGAGGTTGAGTATGATCAACGGTTGCAACAACTTGAGCAGACATGTGTTGATTATAATGAATTTATTGATTATGTGAAAGACACATGGTTGACACCACATAGACCGAGATTTGTTGGAGTGTGGATTAATTGAGTGTTACATTTGAGTAACACCACAACTAATTGGTATGTATCTTTTTATTAATATTTTTTACTATGTATTTATTTTTAGTATTTTTAAATTGTATATTTTTATTTGTATTTTTTAAAGCATTTTTAAGATGTATTATTTTTAGGGTTGAGTCTGCTCATTGAAAGTTAAAGCAGTTGTTAGAAAACAGTATAGGTGACATGGTCAAATGTTGGGAGGCTATGAATAACAACTTAAAGTTACAAGTGGGCAACATTATAACTTCTTTTCAAAAATGTTTTTATGAAGATGAGCACGCGTACGTAAGTCCATTCTACAGTAATTTACGTGGTTCAGTGTCTCGAGCGTCTTTGAGACGCATGCTGAAGAGTTATTGAGAGTTGATTATTTTGGAACTAACAGGTAAATATGTGGTTGTAATCTTAGAACATCCTATGGGCTACCTTGTGCTTGTGAGTTAACAAGATACAAACTTGGTGGTATACTGATACCAATAGATGTTGTGTATATTCATTAAAGGAAACTAAATATGGAAGTTGAGTTGGAGGTAGATGCAGATGATGGATCATAGGTGGATATGAGTAGTGCAATAGATGAATTATGGAAAAGTTTTAGGTCACTAGACATTGTTGGGAAAAGGGCATTAAAAAGTAGAGTTTGTGAACTTGCCTACCCCACAATGACTTCTTTGTGTCCACCACCTGAGAAAATAAAAATCAAAGGGGGAGTCAAGAAGAAAGGCAAAAAACCAGTAGGGTATGATGTTTATAGGGACCCTTCGTATCATGAGTATGTTGATAAAGCATCTCAATCTTCACAGAGGCAATCTCAACCATCTCAGGCTTCGAAGAAGTTGAAATTATCACAATCTTCTCAGAGGCAATCTCAACCATCACAGAAGCAGTCACAATCATCTAAACAGTTCATCTCTCAATTTCCTAATCATATTAGGTCATATATTGAAGATGTAGTTAATGTTGTATCATATGGTAATTGTGGATTTAGATTCATTGCTTCATTGCATGGATATAGTGAAGATGGTTGGCCAATAGTTCATCGAGACTTGGGGTTGGAAATAATACACAAGGAAAGATCAAGTTTGTATGATAACTTATTTGGTAATCGGTTAACAGAAGTGAAAGAATATTTGATGATAGAGGCATTTGATCCTCAACCACTACAAAAATGGTTAACTCTACCAGATATGAGTCACTTGATAGCAAATCGCTATAATGTTGTACTTGTATGTTTAGGCAATTCGTGCATGACTTTCTTCCCTATGACAAGTTCATATTCACCAAATGTCTCCATTTATTGCATTGGTTTTGTAAACCAAAATCATTGGGTCCAAGTACTTAGTTATTTGTAGTTAATATACTAAATTTATTTAGTTTATTTTATTAAACATATGACTTAATGTTTTGATTTTTTATTTATTCAGAAAAACATGAAAGAAGGGTTTCCATTGCCACCGATCACATTAGATTGGAATAAGTTTCGTTCTCCTACAGCAACATCTTGGATGCTAGGATTTGCAGGATGTCTACAACATTGGTAACAACTTACGACTATATTACCATGAATATGTAATCAAAACATGAATGATGAATTATGTCATTAAGTTTTAATTTTATATGTCTCAATAGCACATAACTGGATTCAAAGTTAAACATAAGTCTAGTAGTTAATACAAATGAAAAAACATAAACACATCCCAACTAGGTCAATAAGTCTAAAAACTAACACATAAACATAAACATAAGTCAATAAGTCTAATAGTTAACACATAAACAAAAACATAAACACAAGTCAATGTGAACGAGAAATACTTAAAGCTTCAAATAAATCACCATATCGTGGATCATCCTATTCAGCATCAACCTGCTAGAGATAACGATGAATCAATGTAGAAACACGAGCCTAGCTAGGATCAAATGGTTATGCATCATAAACAGGAACCGACACCTCTCTTGGCGCATCATGAGAGGGTGGTACCAAATGAGGATGCAAAACACGATAATACCACTCAAGATATCCATCATCTGTCTCATATGGGATGGTGGCCAGTGTCACCTGACGAATCACATCAAGGACGCTATGATGGTAACCAATCCGCTCAACATCAATATCATCAGCCATCATGTAATCAGGAGGTGGGGTATAATATAATGCCTGTATCCAAACTGACGTATACATCTGTCAGGAAAATATGGAACAACTATGTCACCCCATTTCAGACACCCCTTGTACAAACATAACTAATCAAATTGACGTCATACTCTATGATCCTCGAATAGGCGTCATATGACGTCGGCAAGTGTCAGCTCGTCCAAAATAGGTTGTAACTCATCCACCTTCAGGACTCCTTGCTTACAGGACAATCTCATCGCTTGAGAAAGACCACAATTTTGAGCTGGTATCCAATTCTCCCCCCTTTTTCCAAGTCTTAGAAAATACTCGTGAATCCAACACTGTTACAAAATTAATAATATTAGTTAACTAAATAAAATTATTTATAACATAATAAAATAAAAAAATAAAATAAATATACTAAATAAAACTAGTTAAAAAATAATAAACTAAATTAAAATAAATACATGTAGAAGAGTAGGATAACCACCGAGCTGCTTGAAACCGAACATAGAAGCATATCTGAGATGTCTGTAACGGTTAACCAACGCAGCAACTCCCCAACTGTATCCTGATAATATCTCCAAGTCTGTAAATAGTAAGAGGTATCATGCCTCGACAAGTGTAAAGGTCTTGTCAGCAAAAATTGTGGAACCCACCAACATCAGCAAATACGCTCTAGTCGCATATACCCATCTATGTGACAGACTTGTTCTTGTGCCCTATACTGTGACACTCATAAGTAATCAACAGCAAGTCCAACAGCAACCACTTCGGTGATATCTTGAGGGGGACAGAACACTCTCCTGATGGGCAAGTGAAGCAGACAAGAGACATCATCCAGAGTAATGCTCATCTCACCAAACCGCATGTGAAATGAAGATGTCTCAAAGGTCATCTCTCCACAAATGCGGAAACCAGGTTTGTGTATATCTTCGTCAAACTGGTTCTCTGGAGTGAAGATAGACCATACCTATAAATCCAACCCTCCATCTCTTTTGGAAGTTGTTGTGGAACCCTCGATGTCAGCTTTAGCCCATGTCCAACAACCTTCAGCTCTTTCTTCAGGATTCTCTCCTGAAAACAATTAAAAGTTTGAATATTATAAAATACAAAAAATTCAATTATTATTCAATATCAAATACATGTCGTTTGCTTACCTCACCAAACCATACATGTCTAGCAATATCCTTCTCGTACTTAACCAAAATAGATGTATCGTACGACCCTCATAGCCAATCGGTTGTGCTGCAGATGCAAATGCACCAATATGCTCTTCCTCACCAGACAATCTCAATGAAGTGCCCCGTTCTAAAGCCCGATCTGAAATCTTACCGCCTTGTGTTTGCGCCACTGAAAAAAATAAAAAAGACAAAAAAAAAACAATACCGGAACACATTGGAAAGGAGTTTCGAATTGCAAAAACCACAAACCGGAACTCATTTGAAGAGACTTTCGGAATGCAAAAATAACTAAACCGGCACACATGTGAAGAGACTTCCGGTAAATATATTAACAAACCGAAAGACTACTAAAATGAGTTCCGGTACACATACTTGAAACCTATAAAACCAGAACACTTATTTTATCTGTTTCGGTGTGCAAATTGTGAACCGAAAGACTTTTGTGAACTGTTCCGATTTGGAGTGCAAAAGTTGTATGCTCCGGAAGACTTTTTGGAGAGTGAACGAAATGGAAAAATTATGAAACATATAACTATTTATATGCGGGCATTTTGGTCCAAATTTTATGTGTGCAGGAGTATGAGAATAATTGTAGAGGTATGAGATGAAATTTTCACATAATAGCCAAAACCAACTATAGTTTTTGGTCAGGGCAATTAAGCCCACTAAGACTTCCAAAAAAACAGGAGTTTCAAAATTGTTTTTTATAAATTATAACTCTGAAATAAATATATAAATATTTGTTGTTCAATTTATATGTAATATTTGATTGAAAGGTGAATGCTTTGATATGTGATATTTATCATTATATTATTTTTTAAAAAATAAGTGTTAAAATGTGATTATTTATACACTTTTCTTTTTATTAGGTCAATTTTTAAAATTGGAACATAACCGCCAAATTATCAGAATTGGCCTTGATAATATCCTTTCGAACCTAACTAAGAAACAAAATAACATGTCATCGATAAGATAATAAATAGCATAGAATCATTGGTGCGATGTCGAAAATTCAAACGTCTTAAAAATTGTAGATCTCAATTGGAAAAAAAATCAAAGATCAAAGGCAAAAAAACCACTACAAGTAAATCATACTATAGTGAAACAATAGTTGAAATCACTATAAACAAACCGAATCTCAACACCGATACAACAAAATTAAACCAATTGTTAACTCAATCAAAAGAGTCAACATAACGAAAAACTTCAAAGGATGGCCTGAGAATTATACTGTACAATCCCATTGACTTTATTCAAATTTTAGAGTTTAATTTTTTTACATAGATTTTTAATTTAAGAATTTATTTACTTGGTGTCCTTAGTACAAGTTATCTTCACCTTTATTTATTTATTAACTAATTTATTCATCGGCCAATGATATTACTTTTACATCAAACTAAGTTGTTCTCTTGAATCCTTACCAGCTTTTTTGGTTATATGTGCACCACACATGTACAGTCGAACTAATTTAAAGTAATTTAAAGTAGAGCTCTCACCCTTTTTTACTTAACCAAATATTTTAGAATTATATAAAAAATAAAAAACTTTTTTTTGGTTCTTTCTTTTTTATTTAAAAAACCCTCTCATAAAGAATTCACTTAATATTACTTATGTGGTCTTCTATACCTCTCATTTAATCCCCTAAACTATATAAATTAAAAAAAATCTTGAAGTATTTAAATAAGAGTAATGTGTTTTAGTTTGAGAGTAATGTTTTTTTTCTTCCAATAAACAACACCATTCATGAAATTTTAGTCTATGGTCCTGCACACTTGAGCAAATATTAGTATACTCAATTATTTTTTAAATACTTTGTTATCATCAAAATCTAAAGGATATAAGACAGATCAATTTTGTTCTAACAATGAGAGCCTCCATGTTGGAGGAGAGAAGCACTATTACAAGAGGAGATAACCCTATGGAAAAAGCAAAGACACTTGATCAAGTTGTCTCTCTAACGACTAGTCTTCTGCAAATTCTATATAAGTAGCTGAAGATTCAAACTGAATCTTTAATAAGGATCAACCTAATGGAGGATTAACAAGATCATAAATTATCAACTCAAATGGCTATGTAGAATTTCTGTTGTAGGTTGTAATCATAAAAGCCCTAGGATTTCTTACACATTGAATATCTTAGAAATCTTAAGAGTTTTAAGCTTTTGTTATGGTGATTTTCCCGCACCTCTGATATTTGTATCAAATACACCTTGTTCTCTATCCTGCTGAACATGTTGCTTAGCATTTTAGATCCAAGTCTCTTGCCAAGATGCTTTAGCCATGTTAGTCTCTTGCTATGTGCTAGAGCAATGAAATTCTTAATCAAGTGGATTGATTGAGCAAGTCCAAGTGTCTCACCAATATTCTTTAGCCATGTAAGTCTACTGCTATGTGCTAGAGCATTAAAAGACTTAATCAAGTGGATTGATTGAGTAGACGTATTGGGTTCGTGGAACCTTTAGCAGAAGTCTTGGGTCTGTAGGACTTGAGCAAGAAAGTTTTGAATCTTAGGGGTTCAAACAAGAAGTCTTATACCTAGGGTCTGAGCATTGTAAAAGTCTCATGCATAATGCATAAGCGATTGTAATCATGATTTAGTTATAGTGAAAATCTCTTGTGAAGCAAGAAAATTGTACTACTCTCAGTTGGGAGGAACCAGTATAAATCTTTGTGTCTTCTACTATTATTTATTTGCTTCTGTTAACATTCCACTGCTAAGTATAATAAGGATCTCAACACCAGTTTAGATTCTGAGCTCTGATTAGACTCAAATTAAGAAAAAAGAAAACATAATTCAACCCCCCTTCTTGTGTACTTTTTCTCACCTTCATTCATTTCTTGAAACTCCCTTCTTGTATAGGGAAATCAAATAGGTAGTTTGGAATTGTGATGGTGAAAAAATCCCTAGTCTGAATGGGCTCAACCTTATTTTCTTCAAGATCTGTTGGGATATCGTCGAGAAGGAGTTAGTAGGTTTCATGAGTGAACTTTATTGGAATTCTTTTCTTTATAAAGAAATGACATATACTTTTCTTGCCTTAATTCCTAAGGCAACTAATGTTTAAGGCATAGAGGAATACAAACCTATTTGTTTAGTAGGATGTATGTGTAGAAATATCTCTAAGATTTTTTCAAGTAGATTAAAGAGGGTTTTGAGGGAATGTGATATCCATGTGTTATTTCATTTTCATTCCTGGTAGACAAATGATGGATAATGTTCTAATTTTAATGAATTACTAGATTTT